TATTTTTGAGAAATTTCAAAAAATACCACATTTTTACAATCTTCGCAAAAATGCCAATTTTTCAAAATTATTTATTCATTATATCATTTATGTTTGGGTTAACTATGTTGTATAAGGGTTTAGTTTTGAGGTTTAAGGGGTTTTAGGGGTCAAAAGATTTTTTAGAATTTAGAATTTTAAGATTTAGGCTCTAAAAAATCATAATTAGTGATATTTTGCAAATATAGACATAAAAAATGACATTTTTGTAAATGTCTCATTTCTACGAATTTGAGTTCCAATTTTAGGAATTTGAGTTCCACACATCCCAAATCTTCGGATCTAAAAAACTTGTGCCTATTGGAGAATTCCCAATGTTTTTGGTTTTGAAATTAATATGGATTTTGATTAGGCAACACGCAACTTAGGTTAAATTAAATTCAAAACAGCTGTCAGGTTGCATCCCACGTAAATGTTGACAGACCAACCGACGATGTGATTTACACATTTATTTTACAGATTTATTTGTACTTTTCATTACAAAAAAAAAATTAACTAAACTACTTAAAAAACTACTTTAAAAAGGATTAATTTGCTCATAAGTAATTACAGACGTTACGTTATCTATGAACAAATATTTTTTGAATACTACTATAAAATGCTATAAATAATAAAAAATTTGATTACACGTTATTTTTAGTTTCTTTTTAACAAAATATACCTAACAAATGCTAGAAGTTTTGTGAAGACTTTGCAAAAAGTACTAAAATAAAACTAGGTTAAAAAAAAAAGAGAGTACCAAAATAAAAGAATTACATATGATTATTAGACTTTTATATAGAGTCAAATCTTCTAAATCAAATCATTTGACCATTTTTACTGAAAAAATCTGACTACCATTAACTCTTAACTTTTTGGGTGAATTTGGTGAATAACCAACAAAAAAATTATAATTCAATAACTAAGAAAAAATGTATATGTGGCAAAATCTAAGTCATTGGATTTTAAAGAATTAGTTAGTTATTAAATTATAGTTTTTTTTGTTGGTTATTGATACTAATTTCCCTAACTTTTTTACTATTTTTTTTCTTTCAAAATAATTGGTCCCCAAAACATTTACTCTTTTTACCAAATTAAACTCTGATTTTCTTAATAAATATTCTACGTTTTCGCTAAACAAATTCTAAAGATCGTTTTAATTGCCCCGCGTCTAAAGATCAACGTCGACGACTCAGTTTCTTCCTCCACA